AGCCGTTGGTCCTGGCCCATGTGTGTTTGAATGGGTGCGATATCCTACGCAGGTGTGGAAGATGCCTTCGGTGATTGGCACAAGATTGTGGAACAGACCGACGTTAAATAAAGGAAAGAACTTTAGAAATATTTGAAATCACTACGGAAAGTACTGAATAACTTCATAAAATTTTTAAATCTAAAAGAACTGAATTATCCCATAAATGTTCGGAATCACTTTGAAAAGTACTGATTCACTTCAAAAATATGTTCAACCACTTCGGAAAGTAATCAAACATTTAAGAAGTGTTTTGAATCACTTCAGAAAGCACTGAATCGCTTGGGAATGTTTTTATCGCTTTAGAAATAATTGGAGTCACTTTTGAAGGCACTGAATTGATTCAGAATAGATTGGAATCAACTTCGAAACTACTTAATCACTATAGGACATTTCTGAAGTGATCAACTACTTTCTGAAGAGATTCAATTCTTTTCTTCAGTGATTCAGTACTTTCCGAACTTCCGAAGGGATTTCAAACTTTTTAGAAGTGACTCAGACGATGTGATTTCAAAGTTTTCTTAAGTGGTTTAGAACTTTCCGAAGTGATTCAAAACACTTTTGAAGTGACTCAGTGCTTCCGAACTACTTCCTAATACCTTTACACATTTTCTTTGCGTGATGCTAAACTTTTCAAGGTGTATGTGTGTGTATTCCACACCTCCACTGGTCAGCAGTGTTATTATCGAAGAACTCTCTCTACAATGTCGCTTTGATGGTCATTGTAGACAGCTTTAGTGCGGGAGTTAGAAGGTGATAGCTCTATTGCAGATCCAGCAACCCATTTCAGAATGTCTGGAGAGTCACGCCCATTCCGAGGTTACTTTCACTTACAATAAGCCTCACATGTATGTATTATCGTTATCAAATGGATATTGGTAATACATACACACTCCAGTTTCGAACTGTTCTTTTGAATCCTGGCACGTAGGGGATGTAATGTCGGCCTAAATGCCCCTAATTTGGGCCCATACATAAATTCAGTGATCGACTAAATTTTCAATAGCGTCCAAAAATATCCATTAGTACCGTCCCAATGACGCGTTCATCTAGATAAAATTGATAAATAGCAGATTTTAGGGCTGGCAGCGATCACTGCTGTCAGAAATAGTGATTTTAGTGACCATTTTCAATAAATAAGTGACCAAATAGTGACTTATGGTTGTAAAAATAGTGACTAGAAAGTGACCTGAGAGAAGGCGCATCAAATAAATGTTTGATGTTTTAGATTTATTCAATTATTATCTCATGAACACTTATGTACGATATGAACCTTTAAAGCGAAAGATTTAATAGAAAGTTTATAAGCAAACACATGGTATTAGTCACGGTATCTACTAACTTAAACAATCTTGAAAACCGGAAATCCCCAGGAATTTATTTGTCTCCTTATAAAACCTGGAAGTCTCTAAGAATTTAAAAAAAATCTTACTAAGGATATTTTAAGGAAAATAATGAATTGTTAAATACAACCATTTAATTTTTCTCGTTAATTTTATTCACACTATGAACTTTAAAGATTCACAGTAGATAAATCTTAAGTCACAAATAAATTTAAAAAAAATTGTTTTAGGAACATGCATATTTTCTAAAAAATAAATAAATAATTTGAACTAGCTCTGGACTTAACAGCTATTATACTTCAAGAAATTTTCAAGAATCTGGTGTCAAATTCCATGCACAGTTTTAAAGACTCGAGGAATTTTATTATAATTTCTAAGGACCTCATCCCAAGGGAGCTGTGGGAAAAAAATCATTCAGGAAAACGTCAAATGTAATCGACTTTTTAGGTAGTTCTGAGGAATTTTAGATTTCATGAGAAACCTTAACCGGAAAATTCCAAGGGCATTCTGAGGATAATTTCACAAAGTTTGTGGGCAAAACTAATACAGAGCACAAGTCATTGGATTTTTTTGAAAATACTTAAAAGGAAGATTACAATTAAATGTGAGAATAACTCCAGAATATCTTCAAAAGAATTCGGAAAATGAATTCAGGAGAGTTTGCCAAACAAATTATGAGAAGAAATCTAAGGAATTTCTCAGGAGAAATGCCAATGAGTTGTTAGGAAACTTTTATGTGAGTAGAATTCCAAGGAAAGGAGTGAGATTGAAAAGGAAATCTGAAATGAATTCAATGAATACTCGGAGAATCTTTCCAAAGGATTTCTAATTGTGGAGAATTTCAAGGTAATTCCGAGGAAAACTAAAAGAAAATTCAATTCTTAAGATACTTTCATCGAGATTTTGAGGAAATCTCCGTTGAATATGGAATGGACTATTGTGAGGTCTTCCGAACCACTTGAAAGAACTCAATTTTTTCCTGAATTAATGAAACTGCCTTGAAGTTCTTTTGTAGTTTTATAAACTAGCCTGATGCTCACAATACGTCTCCTCAAATTCTGAACTTTATAGGACTTCCTAAAGTTTCCTCAATTTTTCTAACGATCATGAATCTTTTTTAAAGGTTAATTAATTTACTGAAGTTCTCTAAACTTCTTTAAAATCTATGTGACTTCTCTAATATTGATGGAACTGTTCTAAGGTTCTCTGTTATTTTCTGAAATTGTCAAAACTTTTCTAAAGTTTTTGCAGTTTTCAAGAAGCTTGTTGTACTGCGCTAAATTTAATTAAATCGCCCTAAAAATGTTTAAGCTTCAGTGAACTTCTGAACTCAGCGGCGCCGGTGGTGTAGTGGTAAGCGTGATTACCTCTCACCCCAGCAGGCCTGGGTTCAATCCCAGTCGGCGCCGCCGGGATGTTCTGAGGCATAACATCTCTGATCAAGGGAAGTAAAGCCGTTGGTCCCCGGTTCATGAGTTGATGGGTCGATAGGTGGTAGGGTCCAGGTGTGGGAGCTGCCTTCCTGGCGTCGGTAGCATTGGTGCGCAGCACGGAAAACAAGATCGACGGAAAACAAATCCAAGAAAAAAAAAAAAAAAACTTCTGAACTTATGCGAAGACATCAAATAATCTGAAAGTTATCTGGAAATCTGGGAACTGCTTTAAATTCCTCACTAATTTTCTTAAACTAATGGAACTGACCTCCCCCTGAAATTCCTCCATTTTTCAGAGCTTACTAAACTTCTTTCAAATGCTCCCGCATTTGGCTAATGTTCATAAAATTTTCTGAAGTTCGCGGATCTCATCTTAAGCTCCATAGATTTTTATGAAGTAATGTTTCTGAAGACCACTGTCCTTCTGTGAAGTTTCCGAAGTTTTTCTAAATTTCTGGAACTTTTGTCGTCACTGAAGTTCTCAAGATTTTTATGAAGTTCATAAAACTTCCCTTAAATTATCGACACTAATATAAAACTTTTTCAATAGTCTAGACTTTTCTGGTGCCTAAACGATTACTGAATTTCTTTTAAGTTCTCTTGACTGTCTAGACTTAAATAATTTGACTTGAAGTTTCGAAAATTTTCCTTAATTATTAACTCCATTATCATTCTTCCATTATTAACACTCGCTAATTTTCCCTGAACTTATCTATGCTTACCTGAAGGTCTCTAAATTTGTTTAATAATCAAGCAAATTTTCAGATATAAATATATATTCATAATTTCCTGACGCTTCTGACGTTTTCGGATCAATCATAGAATTCTTGCAATACCCTATAATTCCACGGAACTCCTTGTCGCTGCAAATTTGCTTAAGTTAATGGGATTATTCTGAACCTATCTGATCGTCCTCGAAGTATTCGGAACTTCGCTGTACATCATTAAACTATCTAAAAATATCTAAATTTAGTTCTCTGGAATTTTTTTAATTTTTTCAATATCTTGAACTTTTACATGGAATATGAAACTTCACGAAATTGAATATTTTTAGATCTTGGAAAACTCAGGTAATTTTATCCAGAAAAATGTGTAGACATCCTGTATATAGAGAAAGCCGATTAAACGTCACAATGCAAAGAATAATCAATCTTGAAATAAATTCACGCTAGAAAAGTTGAAAATAGTGACTTATTACAAGAAAAAGGGACTTTAGTGACTTGACCAACTAGTGCCATTTCCCCTTTAGAGTTTATACTTTTTGAATTGTAAAAAATATTTGAACTGGTCTCACCATGTTAATTTGAATACTTCCTTCAACGAATACAAATTTCCTTGCATTGCTATGGCCATCTGGAGTGAGGTTCGCGTCTAGTGCTTTCCCCAGGAATCGTTCGTGGTCACCAGCTACCACCCGTATCCAGCGAAGCATCTTTCAGATCGCTCGCAATCTCCAACACTGGCGAGAGACCAGCAGCTGAGCACTTTTGCAAGTGGAAAACTTGCTGATTCACGGCAACGTCGGCCACCGAATCATCACCAAAACTCGCGACGGACACAGTATCAGCACGTTCCCGGGCTAATTCACCAACCGGACCGGGTTCAAACTCACCCACGTCACGGTGACGAATCTCTCAATAGAATTACAAACCGAAAGTGTGGCATCCGAACTCGGAAAACCGGACTCCCGGGAGGCAATGAAAACCCGACACTGAACAATAAACCTGAAGCTGCGTCGTATATTTTGGAGGTTAGATTCAAGGTCAACCGAGTCACTCAAGGCAAATACCGGCAAAACACGATATTTAACTAAATGATAACTTTATGAACACTTGAAACTTAATTTCAAGACATAAATTTACAAATTTAAAGCAAAAAAAAAGTTTAATTCGGTGACAAAAAATACGCAGCAAAAGAAAAACACGACTGTTTTTAGCGCGGCCTACTGCGATCATCGGTAATGCTAAGCTTTTCAAGGTGATGCAATATTTAAATCGGTATTGCAAAACTTTTCTATGCGAGTCCATACTTATGAAGGACAAGCGGAAAGAGGATATAAAAATTAAAAATGCAAGACGTTACATCAAATCAAATAAATTACATTGTTTTGTTAAAATTTTGCATAATATAAAGAATCTCATATTTTCTGCGCTAACCCAACTGACCTCCACTTCTACTATTTCAGCTATCCGGCTCAAAACCAGTTATGTTCTTCATCCACGGTGGAGGTTTCTACGAGGGAGCCGGTTCGAACCAAACGCCGGAGTTCCTGCTGGAAAAGGACATCGTCCTGGTTGTAGTCCAATACCGTCTCGGCCCGCTAGGGTTTCTTTCGACCCGAACCGAAGCCATTCCCGGCAATGCCGGTTTGATGGACATCAAACTTGCTCTCGAGTGGGTGCGTGATAACATCGGTCACTTTGGAGGCGATGCCGGAAATGTGACCCTCTTCGGACAATCCGCAGGCGCGGCTGCCGTTTCGGCGTTGATGTACAGTCCCATGGTTCCAGAAAATTTGTTCCACAAGGTGATTCTACAATCTGGGGGATCAAGTGCCCCTTGGGTGTGGGACAAGGATCCGGCTGAGCATGCACGGGAAATTGCCACCATCATGGGTTGCGATCCCAATGCTGATAAGCCCCGGAAGATCGTGATGCCTCTGATGGAGGTCGAACGTTGTATGCACCAGGTGGACGTGTGGCATTTGCTGAGAAGCTTCATCGAACACAAAACGCGGTCCACCGCGGCCAAGGGATTGGGCGACGTTGGAGGTAATCGGCTCACCGTGCAGGACTATCATGGATTCTTACCACAAAAGCCTTGGGAGATGATCAAAGCGGGGAGGAATCGTCCTAATCTACCGATGATGGCCGGGGTGGTAAAGCACGAAGGAACATTCTTGCTTACCTCGATCTACGATGGTTTGAAGAACCGAGGATTGCTGGATGATCCCAACTTTGTCAAGTACGGTTTGTTGGAACAGGTGAATAAGATTTTGGGAGCTGAAGACCCCAGTGGATCGTTGGCTGGGTACCAGATTCGGTCGTTGTTTAGCCAGGAGCAGCTTGCCAGTGGGAAGTTTGAAAATCTAACCGATGGGTTAAATGATGTAGGTTGAACAATTCTCGTTAAAGCATGGAACTGGTATTAATGATTTTTGTTTGCAGCTTGCAGGAACGATCCTGGTCAAGGCAGCACTGCTTCGGGAAGCCCAAGCTAACAGTGCCGTAAATCCGAACGGGACATTCCTATACTCGTTTGACTACCGTGGAGAGCAGACTCGGTTTGGTTATGGAGCGGATACGTCCCACTATCCATTTGATGGTGGAGTTCACCACTCCAATGATTTGCTGTATTTATTTCCGTTTCCTCCCGGTGAACCGAAGCTCAATGAAGGGGATGCCAAGATAGCTCGAAAGATGGTAGATTTGTGGACTAGTTTTGCTGCCACTGGTGTACCCAGGAGTGAGCTGACCGGAGATGTCGAGTGGAAGCCGATGAGTGGTAAGTTGAGGTTGCATCTGACTTCTTTTGGCAATATCCCACAAACGGAACACGATTTGTTTTTGATTTGATTTGATTTGATTTGAGTTGATTTGATTTGTTCCAAAATCTTCCGTCATTCAACATTGTGTGATAAAATTCCAAAATTGTAGGCGAATGTTTTCAGGATAAAGTCAGTGCGAGAGTGCAGCCAAGTTGTTGCGTTTCCTCGATTTACGGATTTTTAGATATAATACGAATCTACCATAAATACTGCTACCTTCATCAGTCGATCCTCTAATCTCAACGCGAGCAACCATTTTTTATGTCAATTGGAGCACCTCTCTATCCGTAATACGCGCGCGAGGCTCAAACCTTTGTAGACTACTTTTTTTTTAAATTAATCTACTACTATTAAATCAAATATTAAAAATCCATCATCACCATCGTGGCGAACAAAAATAGTGTTTGTAGTGCTATAATAATTATTAAAAAGTCATTATGACAGCTATCCATACAAAATTATCCGTTGTAGATAACTTCGTCACGATACATAATTTGGCAATTCATAAAAAAAAAAAACAAACGACAGATCTAACGTGTGAAATGCAGTGTAAGTGTTGCTGAACGTTTGATATGTGTAGGCAACGAATTGAAAACATTTATTCCTTAGATATAATGAATTTTGTGAAGCACAAGTCAAGAAATGTGGTGTTCTTGTTTCAACCGCGTTTTTAGTATAATATCTACGAAAGTCACTTCCTCTTTCAATTCGATCACACAAATATCGAGGCAGCAAACCGTTAACTACTTTAAAAATGAACACCATAGTCAAATATACAATTCTTTGCTTCACCGACAACTATTGTAAGGCGTCTAGCATCAAAGTTGAGGAAGTGAAGCTAATACATCTCAAAATCAACGCATTATTTTATTCTACAAGCGCTGTAATCTCGATATTTGTGTTTCATTGGCCAGACATAAAATGGAAGGGCAAAAGTCTAGATGAGGAGAGATGATTGATTTGTAAAGCTGTATTTTACTGGCAATAGTTAAATCGTTTTTCAATCGACATAGAATTCCATACTTCTTGGCAATTTTATTGATGACATTGTCAATGTGAGAGTTGAACTTAAGTGTGTCATCAATAATGACGCCAAGATATTTAATCTCCCGAACGCGATCAATTACAACAGAGACGTTCTCATTTAATCGATTCCGCGAAATTACCATAAATTTAGTTTAACTTGTATTCAATCTCAACTGCTTATACTTCAACCATCTACTTAGAGAACGCAAATCTTCATTCAAGTGTAAAACGGCATCATCTAAATCCTTAGCTTCAATGAATAACACAGTATCATCTGCAAAAAGATTAATGTCGCAAAACCGTAAAACAAGTCACAAGTCATTAATATACATAATAAATAACAGGGGCCCTAATACACTTCCCTAGGGCACTCCAAGGGTATTCTCCACGGGACTGGAAACATAATCATTAAAAACAGTCCGTGACAGTGAGTTCTGTCAGACAAATAGCTTTCAAACCATTTATATGCAGTACTCGTAATTCCATAGCGCTTGATTGATCTTAACAATAAGGGCCTAGAAATTGTTTCAAAAGCGCGTTTTAGATCAAAAAAAAAAAACAGCAACAATCGTATCTTTACACTTCAAGTTATTTTCCACTTAGCTAATACCAAATTCAACGCGGTTTCACAAGAATGACCTTCCCGATATCCCGATTGTTCTGGTATCAACAAACTATTACTATTTAAATACTCCAACAGCTTACCTTTTACAACAAGTTCTAAGATTTTCTCTAATGTGTGCAACATGTCGCGAATTATCGTGGAATCACCTCCCTGTGTGCCTGCTCAAAACTGTTCGAGATTATCATAAATGATGCTCTGTTCGCGTGTTGCAAAAATTATATCGATACAGAACAACACGGCTTTTACCCGAAGCGCTCCGTGTCCACGAACCTGGTGCAGTTTACTTCTAACTGTTTGCGATGCATGGATTCAGGATGGCAAGTCGATGCTGCGTGTATGGATCTAAAAGCTGCATTTGACACGGTGGACCATAATATCTTGCTTGCCAAGCTGGAGATACTTGGCGTCTCGTCAACGGCTGTGGATTGGTTCAGATCTTACTTGGTGAATCGCTATGTACGGATTAAGATTGGCGCGTCGGAATCGGATGTTTTCTCAAACAACTCGAGAGTTCCGCAAGGCAGTAACCTGGGACCGCTACTGTTTTCGATCTGTTTAAACGACGTCGCATTTCTGGTACCATCAGGATCCCGCGTTGTCTATGCAGACGATACGAAAATCTACAAAATTATTAAAAGTCTCTCAGACCGTCGGGATCTTCAGAATATGTTAGGTATTTTTGCTGACTGGTGCTCAAGAAATTTAATGAGTCTAAGCATCGAAAAATGTAACATTATTTCCTGTCACCGTAAAATCGAACCAATCATGTTTCACTATGTTCTCTACGGACGCTGTCTTGCTCGTGTAGAGCACATAAAGGATCTCGGCGTTACCTTGGACTGCAGACTCACTTTCAGAATCCACTACAATGACATCATCTCCAGAGCTAATCGACAATTGGGATTTATTTTCAAAATTGCTGACGAGTTCCGTGACCCGCTATGCCTCAGGTCACTCTACTGCTCGCTTGTGCGATCCTTATTGGAGTCAAGTTCAGTTGTTTGGTGCCCTTTCCATGCTAGCTGGATCACTAGAATTGAATCCGTTCAACGCAAGTTTGTGAGATATGCTCTTCGTTTCCTCAACTGGCGTGACCCAACGAACTTGCCTCCGTACGAGGAGCGTTGCCGTCTCATGGGAATCGAACCATTAGAGGTGAGACGGACGGTCGCTCAAGCTATGTTCGCTGGAAAGCTGCCTAAGGGTGATATTGACTGTCCAACAATGCTGCCTCAGCTAAATATGTATGCCCCTGAGAGACCTCTTCGTCAACGCGACTTTCTGTTTTTGGAACCACGGCGCCGAAATTATACACAACACGAGCCAATTCGAGCAATCAGCCGGCAGAGGACCACTTTGTCAAGCAGCTTTGGCGTGACTTTCTACCAGCTATTTCACAAAACTGGACCAACTAATTTTTATTTTGTTATGAAACGCACAAATGTTGGCTACTTTTCTCGTGGTTCTAGAAGAAAAAATCTCAACATAATGTTTTATTCCAAAGTTCAAGTGGTAGTCAACGTAATTTTAACTGCTCGAATAAAGTGGGTAATTAACGAGAAAAATAGCAATAATTTGTGCATTTCTTACAAAAGTAGAAGGGTCTGTGCCTAGGGCATGAACGGAAGCTAGTGGACGGAATAAATGTGAAGAGCATTTAGTTCTTTAATTGATCAATTATCTATTATCTCAAATCTTTCCGTTTTTGAATTGTAGGCGTACCAAATTTGTAGTAATCTTTTTCAAAGAGAAAGTTGATTAAGAGAATCAATCAAAATCAATTGCACATCTTCTTCCAAGTTTGGTTACAAGATTACGAACCTGGAGACCATTTTGTGTGGTCGTTGGGGGCTTGTGGTTCGGTTCTTTACTGATGTAAGCTGATGGCCCTGAAAAGGGCCGTTTTATTGAAGAAGACATCCATGGCCACTTATGCTTGGCGTGTTTAGTGTAGGTGACAGCATCACGGACATCATTTTTCAGGAACACCTTCAGCACACCTCGTAGACACCACCACGGCGAGCCAGACGACCGATGGCGGTTATCTCGAAGAACTTTGCGATGACGCTTGGCGCCTCCTTTTCCTCCTTTGCCACGACCAGTCAATTGATGCTTGTTAGGTGTGAAGGAGTGGACTAGCCACCACCTTTCTACTGCTGCTATTTCTGTTCACCACGCCGTCCAAGCGAAAATGAGCTAATGCCATTTTTAGTTAGTTTAAATGATCTTTATTTTAGTTTAACTTGGACGATTACCATATAAATTTTTACTAAGTGATTTAATTGCTTTCTTCATCTTTAGGTATGGGCAAAATTTAAAATTTGTTTTACAGGATTAGTCCTAGACTTAGTACACGGTCGACCACCTTGGTGGGATTGGTTTGTTTTGTTTTTAGAATTTGAAGAGAAACTACTTAATACTACTATTTACAGCTTAAAACTAACTTACTCTACTATATACACTTAACCTATTATGTACAAATTGCTTATTAAAGCATGTTCAGAAAGATTGCATTTTTGAATAAATTTAGTTGTCATATCATCAATTTTGGAATCTACTTTGGGAATTTCTGCCTCTTGATGGAGGTCTGCTATTCTTGTGTCGAATGGACGATCTAGGATGATCCTCAACACTCTATTCTGTGCAACCTGGATTTTGTTCCTGTGGGTCTGAGCGCACGATTCCCACACCGGGGCGGCATATAAGATCGCGGGGGCTATGATCTGTTTGTAAACAGCCAGTTTGTTTTGCCTTGAGAGGCGGGATCTGCGGCAAATGAGCGGATACAAACACCTAACCAAGGCGGAGCACTTAACTAGGGTTTTCTCTATGTGCGAGCGGAACAGGAGCTTCTCATCGAACAACATCCCGAGATAAGTAACATCAGTGGACCACTCGACCCTTGTACCATCCATTATTACGGTACAGGAGGGAGACGGTTTAAGTTTTAATGATTGTCTGTGAAGGAACATGATCGCTTGGGTTTTCGAGGCGTTGATTTTGATTTTCCACGTGGTGGCATAATCAGTAAAGGTGTCAAGGCATCGTTGGAGCTTGTTCGTAATTTCACGAGGCATCCTACCCTTGACAGCTATCGCGGTGTCATCTGCAAACAGAAAGAACACGCAACCGTCTCCTAGAGGAGGGATGTCCGACGTGTAGATGCTGTAAAGCAGTGGTCCCAGCAGACTCCCTTGCGGAACACCTGCTGGGATCGGAAATTGTCCCGAAAGGGAACTATTCAACGACACCCTGAACGACCTTTGCTGGAGATAGTTACGGGTGATTTTCACAAGGTATGGTGGA